TTATGTATGAATTCAACCAACCCGCAGTGGGCCATATAGCCTAGTCACCCCTAACTTAGGATAGGCTCCGAGCCTGTTAGTGGAGCTTATAGGTAGTTGATGATGATGATGATAGTACTTACCTTAGGTCAGAAATAAACATTCGTGTGGTTAGTTCTATTTATTTATTTTTTTAATTATGAAACTTTATTCTACTAAAATGTCTTTAATACTTTTTGCATAATCTTATTAAATCATTACTTCAATGTTCGTGTTCAAGGATAGTTTGGAAAAAGTTTGGGAAACGACTATAAAACTTACATCGTTAGTAATACATTAAGTTCATGGGTTCTAAGTAAAACTATAAATTTTCCTAAAGTACAATGACATTTAATACACCTGCTTAAGTTAGATTTCAAGTTAAATAGAAGTAAAGTTAAAAAAAATACGATCCTAAAGTAAAGATGCGTTTTATACAACCTACGAAGGTTCGTAAGGGCAGTTTCGTCTGCACAGTATGTACTGCCCCTCCATACATCTCTATCAGCGGTCATATCTGAATTCACCCTCTTCTTATGCATATCCTCTTTCACACAATCCATCCATACTTTCTTTGGTTTTCCTCTACCTTTGTAGCCAAGATGCATTACCTTTTTTACGAATAAGTAAAATTAATAACAATCTTAAAAATTAGGTTACTTTTAGTGACTTATATTTATCGGTAAACTCATTTAAAAGAGTATTAGGTGAGACAAAATGCTCAATTAAGTTTCTAGATTTGGCCTAGATTTCTCCTTTGGCCCAAATTTACAATATTAGTAAGTATTCTCCTATCGCTGTCAAATATTTACTAAATTGAAATCAACATTTTCAACTATATTTAAGTACAATTAAATTCGATCATTAAGTTTTGTTTTTAAATAAAAAAATATACTCTGAAAGAATCAACTAAAAATCAAAGTTAACATAGTGTTAAGCACCTTTTTTTAACTTAGTGATGCTAACAAAGGACATCTCAAGTTACATTTGAAAAAAAATCTAACGAGAACAGTTTGAAATAGAAAATATCTTATCTTTGAGTAAAATCACCTTCAGAATTTAATAATATGTAACTATTTTCTTCTTTTTGAGGTGCCTCTACGACTAACGTAAGTTGCCGATCAGTTCTCCATATTACTTTTTGTCTGTTGCGAAGCGAAATAGTTGGGCGCACTCGCAACCCCTGTCCCTCTGGGATGTTGCACAACCAGGACTTCTTTCTGCGACCCACGCTCCTTTTACCGGGAACTTTTCACTAATAATAATGTAATTTTGCAGATGTCCATGGGTGTCGTTGATCACCTCGGTGTTCCCGCTGCTCGTTTGTCCCCTTCTCTTATAAAAAAAACTAATAGTAGATGCTGTACGCAGAGTGATTTTATAATCAATTAAGGCTTTACTGTGACTTATGAGAAATAATACAAAGGGACTTTTTCAAGTGCCATCTCCGGAGGTTTGTTATCAGTTACTACCCGGAATAGTAATAACGTATCCAGTTTGTACCATGACTTAAGATTTTGAACGTCTTTTACCTCTGGGTCTTCTTCCTATGTCTTTCCCTATAAACTTTATTGCGCATTGTTCCAGTCTTCGTCCACCCGGCACACCCCCACCTTGCGATCCGAGCTGATGAGTAAACGTCAACCCTAAAAATATATTTAACTTCAATAAAGAGACGTAAGCCTGTCACGTCTGAACATGTACGAACATAGGAAATAAATTTACAAATGAGCACTCGTGTTACACAAAGCGACGTATCTTCACGCAAATTTATTTGAAATGCGATGGATGACTTGAATTTTAAATAACTTTCCTCTCGTAAAATATTCGATAACTCGACTTACAAAATTATGTTTTACTTTTTTAGGTTAATTAAACTTAACCTTAATTAACGTATTATATTTATTTTGTATACACATTGTGTTAAATAGACAGAAGTACTTAGAATCGGTGAGCGAATCGGAGAGCGTCGGTGGCTCAGGGGTCAAGCACTTGACTTGCAATCTGCAGGTCCTGGGTTCAAATCCCGCCATGTACCAATGTGTTTTTTCGATTTCCGATTTACATATGTACATTTATCCGACGATCTTACGGTGAAGGAAAACATCGTGATGTAACCTGCACATATCTGAGAAATTCAAAGATATTTGTGAAGTCAACCAACTCGCATTGCGCCAGCGTGGTTGACTATGGCCTAGTCACCATGGTGAGGACGTATAGTGAGCTGATGATGATGATGATGACTTAGAATCATTTATAGAGAATGGCGCGCTTTTGTACTGACACGTAAACGTTAATATTTTAATAGGTTTAGTGTTGCAGCACATTGTCGGATTTTCTTCCTAACAAAAGGTACTTATGTATGTTAAGCCAGCATAAATACGTATTTTTATGATATAAGATTGTTAACTAGCAAGCTCGAATTCGCTGAAATATCGAAGGGAATCAGTGCGTATATCATAATAGCCCTTAACCTTTTCGAAACAATTATGAAAATCAACAGTTTGTTGATTCCAATTATATAACACTAAAACCTTTTGCATTTATAAATATACATGAAATCTTATAAAGTTAATACCGTTTCTTTGTTATTTTTAATTAGTAAAAGTACGATAAACCTTTCATTCGTAATAATTTTATTGTGTTACGAAACGTTGTGACGTTCTTAAAATATAAAAATCTTTCCATGAAAACTCAATGACGTTGTTAGGAATATTGAAAATTTAGTCACGGTTCGATTTTATTTTGAATCGTGATTTCTTTCCTTCAAAAGAAATCTAGATTGGTTGTAACTACGCATTTAGCTACTAAAGAATGTTCAAAATGTCATCACTAATTTTTTTTTCGTTACCTTCTCGTTCTTTTGTTTTGAAATATTAAAAAAAAGATTAAAGCTAGTCTTGACCTTGAAACGTTCTTGTAACTATCAAATTAAATATCGTTCCATACTTGCAGTTAAGGGACGTCCCTTAATAGTTTATATCGAGGTATTTTTTTATAAATTCTTTAATGGATTAAGCCATTAAGGGTCAACCTTTATTAGATAGATGTACCAAAAAGTTTCTAATTATTTAAACTAAAGGTTGCACATTGATAGAAATTCGAATATATATGATCAAAGATTTTTTGAGCCCTACGCCATGTCTGGACAGAGATCTCACGCACCCCGTAAGCGAGTCTTTAAGAGCAGTATTTTTATTATTTGTTCCTTTCACAAAACACTGATTAAAAATATAACTTCAAAAAACCATTCACTTGTCGTAATACAATACTAATCGTGGTCTTCTGAGACAGAAATCCCCGTTTAAAATATATTATCTTAAAGTTCTTTTTTTTTATATGACGATATTATGTTTTATATAGAGATTTTGGTCTCACAAACCAACGGTAAGTTAGTTATCTGTTTACTTGTTTACTCTTTATAAACATTCCAATATTAGGGGAAAAATGGAAAGATTCGTTGTTAACCGTTGTTTATGTTCTTCAATTTAATTGGAAATTGGGGACCTATAAGTTTTAAGTACTCCAACTAAATACACTTTATGATGATAGTCGTTGAAAGTTGAATTTGCTATTAGATTTTTTTTTGAATTTTTATTAATTTATTATCTTTAAAGATTTTTCCTGAATTCGGCTTTGAATAGTTAACGAGATGTCTTTTCGATATAAATGAATTAATTCTATTTATAAATTGTATTTATAATGTTAAACGTTTATATTAAAACGAGTAACTGAAAGCTAAAGAATTAGTATTTAGTTACGTTGGGAACTTGAACGCGGTCAATTTTAATGAGATCTTCACTAGTGTAATTGCGAGCACAATTAAAAAGTAATTGTATTTTCTGAACGCATACATTTTATATTCATTATTGTTTTTAGTTATATATCTTAACTAGCGGTCGCTCACGGCTTCGTCTACGTGGAATTGAATAAAACATAATTAGTAACCGATGTGTTCTTTCAGACTATGTTCTATATGTATGCCAAATTCCATTGAGATCCGTTTAGCCGTTCCGGAGATACTTTCAAACATCCATCCATCCATCCATTTAAACCTTTGCATTTATGAGTAAGACATCTTACTAATGGAAGGATATTTGCTACAAGTATTTCCGTAACAACTCAACGGATCTTAATGAAATTGGGCATAGATGTAGAACATAGTTTGTAAGAACATATAGGCTACTTTCTTTTTAATTCTACTTGAATGGAGTCTCTGACGACAGTTAGTAGAACGTAAATTAATATTAGGTAGTGACTAAGGACGTGGTTACATTAGTCGTTAGCACCCACGTATATTGTGCAAGAGATTTCTTGTTCACGCATGCTACATACGTCGGTGGGTCAGTGGTCAAGCACTTGACTTGCAATCTGAAGGTCCTGGGTTCGAATCCCGCCATGTACCAATGTGTTTTTCGATTTCCGATTTACATATGTACTGTTCGATTTCCGATTTACCAATGTATATATTTATCCGACGTTCTTACGGTGAAGGAAAACATCGCGATGCTGCACATATCTGAGAAGAAATTCAAAGATATGTGTGAAGTCAACCTCGCACTTGGCCAGCGTGGTTGACTATGGCCTAATCACCTTTAACTTAGGGTAGGCTCCGAGCTCCTCGGTGGGGATGTATAGTGAGATTATGATGACATGCGAAACGTAGTTGCGGGCGAAAGCTAGTATTAAATTAAAAGATAGTTTGATTTAAAGGATTTTATTTTAAATAGGTTCTATTAATTACATTATTTTTATAATATACTATAGGCTTAGGCAATACTGAACAAAACAATAGAATTTTTTACATTTTTAAACGTTCCATAATTACGTCAAATTAATAAATTATTATATTTGTTACAGCATTTCGGTAACACATCGAATTAAATTTATATATACAATTAGTTAAAGGAAAATCAATATTAAACACAAGGTGATAAGGTTCAAATTAATTTGATACAAATCATTTTTATAAAAAACTGGTCATGTAAATATATCCAAAAATTACACTTACGTTTTTCAATTGGGTTTTGAATCGTTCAGATTCACGATGACGTCACACTTTCGTCTTAATACTTTTACGCAAAAAGCTTGGATATTGGAGCCAATATTTGTTCCAATATTGGAAGACTTTGAACGGAAAAGAATCGATTAAAAAAAATAATTACTCGATTGAACTATAGTTTTATTTAGATTTTATAAGATGGGAACTTTCGATCTTTTTTTAATTATTTCCTATCGAATACTTAATACTGGGACCACGAAATATTACGTTAATTTTTTTTTATAATAATTTCAACTCAGATATGTTCCACACAGAGCCTAAACTACTTACATCGGTGCGTTACAAAGTACAAAAATCAGTGTAAAACGTACAAATAAAAAATCAAGGTCATATTTCCCTCGATAGATGGCGTTGTTATTTATATATTAAAATACTAAATTTTCTTCTGTAAATTGGTTCATGTTTACTCTAATTAGTCCTTTTGCAAATATCTTTATAAAGAGCTTTTTAAAGTCTAACTAAATTGATCAGAATTTATTTCTCGAATATTCTACGAAAAGGTAATCATTAAAATTTGTTAATATTGTTTTATGGCCATTAAATTATATAACATGATATTTAAATCGATACGTATTTTCTAATTTATCAAATATCTGAGCATTTCCCGCGGCATTATGAATCTTATGGGCAAAGATTTAAAGTGCAAATTTTATTAAACCCCAGTCTTCTATTCAGTCAATTATATATGTTAAAATTAGGCGAAATATTAATACAAAATGTAAACTGCAAACTATTCGTTGTTTATAACACAACATGTATTGATCAATTTCCATATTTTTTTTTAAATATATGTAGTACAAAAAAAAGAAACACCCAAATTACGAAATTCAATTTTATATAACATATTTCAATATTTATCTATTTTTATTACCTTTTAATATTAAATAATCATCCTTGGAATTTATCTCCATCTTGAGAAATCCGGGAAGATCACATCAAATCCAACCTTTCAGTCAAATTATATTCTAACGCTTAACAAATAGAGTTCAAAATCAGATAACACTGACTAATGTCATATAAGATTTTTTTATATACGAATAGATTTACTTAACAGGAGTTATGACGATGGAATCCAAATGGCCTTGAAACCAAATTTATCTCAAATTTCTGGCTAAACTTGGTATTTGAGGATAGCGTCATCTACCTCTGTCTGTCAACAACCATCAGACCCTAAACATCACAAATGACACGTCTATAAACTGGAAAATATCACTTTTTGACTAATAACGTTCCCGATTCACTCGGTATACAAGAAATTCCCGATTCAATTCCGTATCGGATCAATTTTTCTGTCTCTCTCTAGAATCTTCTCTGCAAACACCTCGGGGAGGGGAATCTCTTCCCTTGTGTGCTTTCGATGTCTTTCTGGACCTCTTGAACTTGGCTACATCATCACCGAAGACATCACCAGTTCTTAATGCGGAGATGAGATCATCAAACTCTCCCTTCTGTCCGTTGGTGAGTGTACCGTCTCGTGAGTCACCATTATGTCCGTTACAGTCAGAGTTCCCTTTGCCGAGGGACTTGCCAACTGAACTTAACAAACTGGACGCCTGCTTGCGTTCCATCGTTCGCTTCTTCAACTGTTAACAAGGAAATTATTAAATTATTAAGAGAAAACATCATCATGGGTAGTACCGGCGTTAGGATAGGGCGGGATAGGCGGTCCGCCCAGGGCGATGGAGAGAAAGGGGCGCTATATAGTGTGTTCACGAACAACTCCGCCCCCCCCCAAATCATGGTAAAAAGGAGTGGTTCTGTAACATTCTTGGCCATGGCACTGATCATAGTAACGTTAGTAACATTCTATTACATTAATTAGTTTCAATAAAGAATGTGTTTATAATCTAGATTTTTTAAAATATGCTAGTTAAGACTTGGATTACAGATATAAAGAAAAATTTGCGACATAAACGGTTGTATCTTTTGATTGGGTTGGTTTAGAAGTTTTATTTTTTCACAGCAGCTAGCGACCGCAGACCTGAACATTTGATATAAATTCTAGCTTTATACCTTTACGCGTTTTTGAGAAAAAGGGCCTCGACAGACAGACTGACGGACAATAAAGTGATCCTATAAGGGTTCCGTTTTTTTCCTATGAGGTACGGAACCCTAAAAGTCGTCACAATATGTCAGTAATTTGTTATCGTGTATGTGTATGTGTGTATGTATGTCCCGACCTCCTGCTCGTGCCGCGTCCTGCGCTCCTCATCATCACGGCGACGTCGTGCAGCATCACACTCAGCGCGCGCCTCCGCCAGCTGCGCGAGGAATGCATCCAGCGCACCGAACAGCTGCTCCGGAGACGCGCTCGCCTCCTCGCCGAATGCGTGCGCGCACGCCTCCAGCCGGCTCTTCATGTCCTACAGCACATTCATACGTATGTTACATATCACATGTAACATGTTACATGTTACACACCCCTCTTCTCGGAATAAGGGAGAATGCCAACAAGAATAGATTGCATGATAATGTTTTCTTTGAATTTGCTTGAAGAATATTATAAAATAAAAATATATTAAGTGATTCTGGATTTACCTGGAAGAGGTCTTCTAGTTGTGTGAAGGCGCAGACGGCGTGGGCGTGGAAGTCTCTCATGACGGGTACGAAGGCGTCGTTGGGGTCTGTGGGCGCGGTGGGCGCGGTGGGCGCGCGTGCCGCGTGGTACTCCAGCTCGCGGGCCACCTCGCGCAGTCCAGTGCGCAGCGCGCCCACGTCCCGCTCGAGCTGCTCCACGCACACCTTGGCGGCCGCGCGCACATGCGGCACGTCCTCCTCCAGCAGCAACACGTCACGGAACTGTACATCACAACGCAACGTCTTCATTAAACAGTAACTTAAATCTTACTACTCGTAATATTATAAATACGAATGTTTAGATCGATGGATGTTTGTTTGTAAGTATTTTCAGAACAGCTGAATGGATTTTAATGAAATTTTGTATACATATAGAATAAAGTCTGAATGAAAGCATAGGCTAATCATTATGTTTTTTTAATTCCGCGCGAACGGAGTCGCGGGCGACATCTAGTAGATAACATTTTTAGGTCCTTCGAGAACAAAGCGACTTAAATCGTGGAAACTAATATTGAATGGTTCTATCGCGTATCTCCGTAAGTACAACATTGAATTCGTGATTCAAGTCATTTCTTCTGTTTACAAAAATAATAACAAGATGTCAACTTTATTCAATATCTGTCTGTCAATTTGTCTTCTACCTAATAAGTTCTATAGAATATAAATGCGAATAATTCTGAGTACACTAAGAGATATACAGACCTGCGTCTCTAGTAGTTCCACGAGGAAGTGCAGCAGCGTGGTGCTGCGGCTGACGCTGGACTTGGTGTCAGCCAGCTTGTTGAGAGACGAGAGACGGAAGCCAGACGCGTTGCCGCGCGCACCCCTGTACACAATATACCGGTAACCAATACGTACAATAATTTAACGCTTCATAATTGATACAAAATTCAAAGAACCAGTGATAAATTCTTAATCAGATTTGGATCTCTTGAAAAGGAAAGGAAAAAGGGAAGCGGATTTGATAGAGGAGGGGACGCTTAGGTAGCGGAACTATCTTTATGTGCGTCCCCTTCTTTGATTGAAGGTCGGTAACGCATCTGTCATTGCAAATGTATATTGGGCAGCGCTCAATTGTTTGTTTGCGAATTATAAAACAAAAAAAAACTTTGACATGTGTTTTTGTTAAGTAATATTATCAATACAAACTCACCTGTTCATGTAATTGCCGAGCGCGAGCACGATCTCCAGCAGCGCGCGCAGACGACGCGAGCGCGTCATGTCGCGTGCGGCGCGCAGCACGACTGACGCGCGACTGGTCGCCTCCGCCGCCGCGCCTGAGAACTTCTTCTTGAACAACAGCGTGCGGACACGCTGGGAGTAGTGGGGGATCCTGCAAAACACACAAACAAGAATTTTAAAACAAAAAAATCACCAAACCATATTTCCTACTCTCCACACTCGTATTAAGGAATATTGTTTCAATAATTAGTTTCCCTTTAAAAGTTAGTATTAGCTTTGCTATTCCGATTATTAGCCTTTAGGTGGCACGCGGCTCGCCTGTCACCGTTATGGATAGTAAAATAAATAGAGAGCCTGCAAGAAAAAATAAAAGTCTGACTTTTGCGTTTTGTCTATTTTTTTATGGCAGGCGCAAAAAATATTGTGCGCATTTTGCATTGCTTCCAACAATTACCTGGTTTAATATTAACAAAGTAGTACTAAAAAGCTTGGAATTACTCACTTGGATATCTCGTATAAGAATCTGTCGGCGCGCGCCATGCTGTCCAGCTCGTCCTGGTGCTCCTCCAGCAGCGCCGCCTCCTCCGCGCTGGGCGTGAACTTCAGCAGCTGCTCCACCATGTCGATCGGAAGCTGCTCATCCTTGTCCATCTTCAAGATAGCTCTACGAGTTACAAAGAAGACATAAGATGAGAACATACACATGAGTTGAATCACAAAGTCTTAAGTTACTAAAGCCTATAATTTGGACGCGAGTACACTAACAAATAAGTGGTTCACTTACCGACAAATCTCTTCGTCAGACATCTTAAGCTTGGAGAGAAGTATGGTGCAGTTCTGCGCGCGTCGACCATCGATCACCGTCAGTATCTTGGTGCGAGGCTTAGCTCCTAGTTGTCTCAAATCCTCCACTGATCCCTCGTTCTGAAATTATAACGATAAAAACTAAAATAAATACATTAATACTAGCTTCCAATCAAGAGGGATAGACACCTAAATAATAGCAATTTTGTACCACTTTTAAAGTTAGGGATAACAGAACGAAAAAAAAAGGGCTACAATAGTCCCGCACACGTCAGCTGCGTCGCGTCAAAATTAGTCTAACCGTTCCGGAAATTACCTGGAACAAACGCGGCTTGCGGACAGACAGAGACAAATTGGTTTTTTGATATTGGTGAAGAAAGTACATCCCGTACACGAAATATGTTTTTTTTTATATTTCTATATGTAAATACTGACACACAAAATTTATTAAACGTATAGAAAGAATGAAGGTTTTGTTATAAGATAGTAAAAAATAGCCACCTGCACGCCATTCTTCTGGTAAGCGCAGAACATCTTGTCGATGGAGTGCAGGTCAATGGCGGTGTAGAGGCGCGAGTCGTCCAGCTCCTGCCAGATGGTGCCGTGCAGCTTGGCGTCGGGCAGCTTGCTCCAGTTGAAGCTCTTGAGCGGGTTGCCGGGCGCGGGCACGTGCTTCCTCTGGCGGGGCGTGGGCAGGGGCGCGGCGGGGAGGTGCGCGGCGGG